TGAACCTCTCAAGATTGAAACAATGATTTCACATTTCACAGTCTGATATCGCTACGTATAATTAACCTATCGGAATAGGTACAGCCAAGTTGGGTCACTTGATCTCAACCGAGATGGGCACAGACCTTTAGACTGAAACATGGCTGGATATAACCATTCTCGTTTCGATCATCATTGTCACGCTGGGTGAGGTCTGAGTGTCACGCCCCAGTCTATAATATGCAGGAACAAAGTCTCTCTCACTCCTACTACCGGAGTATCACAACGCCATGTCCTCTTCATCCCCAAAGCCGCAGCATACTCAATTGTACATTACAATTACGTAGGTGTATTGGTATCTGATAGTTCTGTCATCCCGTTCTGAGGAGACGCTGAGGAGACGCTTTGCTTCACCGAGTTGCCACTTCATTGAGACTAGGAGTTACTTTTTGTGACTTGGCCAGACGCCATGGAAAGCCTCAAAAACAAAAAAAAAGCCCCTATTGCAAAGGTGCCTTAGCTCTGTGCTATGACACTAAGCTGGGAGACATGTCACTTTCCCAATATTTGCCCAACACTGGCATGATAAGACCTTCGTATCAGATCCTAGAGAATTCGACGAGGTTTCAGTTGCTACTCTATAAACATCAGACTATTGACGGGGAAATTGTACTGCAACATAAGTTTTCAGGCCGCAATTTGTATAAAACTTTACAGCCTGACTTGATCTCATGTTGATGGGTTCCAATAAGACAATATCCACATTAGAAAAAGCACAACTACCTAGTTATCTCGTATCGAGCTGGACAACACAACATAACATGAGTGATCAGACCCCTCGTTTACGGTATATTGATGGTTCACCGATGTTACAGTTGATTTGTTCACTTGATCACGTGGCCTATCTCATCGCCAATTCATTTGCCGACGCCAATGCAATCACGACTTCAGGTCTTTGACTTTTTAACTGGTAACCCTAAGTTACATAAAACTTAACATGTTTTTCCTCCCTCAGAACCTCACTATTACCCCGCTTCCACTGAGTCACAGGTACTCGGTCTGCTTTCAATCGTCATCAGAAGAGTGATGGCTGATTGAGGCGCGTGGTGGGCTGCATCGTCGGTGAAAGATCCCTTGTTACTATGGTAGCTTTTGATGGGGCCAGCTGAAGAGCTAGTAAGGCTTTTGAGCTGATGATACAAGTGCAGCTACAAGGCGTTGGGCAGCTAACTACTAATAATAATGTTCTTGACTTTTTTGCCCGTTGGAGAGGCAATGGATGCTTAAATCATATGAGAGAAGAGTAAACAAGTAAAAAACAAAATAAAGAAAATAGTAAAAGGTAGCTCGACAACCTTACACAATTAGGGACTCTGCATAATGACATCGGATGCCAAGATATATATATGCACACTGCCCTTTTGAGGCGCTTAAAAGTGTGCATGCATCGCTTGTTGGTGTTGCAACAACCAACAACCACGTCGCTTGTGGTCCGCCTCACTTGTAAGCAAGATGTGCAACGTGAAGAAAAAAGCAATTAAGGAGCCATCATATACCGAAGTTCACGGTCGGGGGTGACCTAGTCTAGTCAGGGTCGAGTCATGAACCAACAGAGTTGCAAAGGAAGAGGGTTAATAACATGTCAAATATACCTGTTCAACGTTAAATATCTATAGTAGAGAGCCTGTTCCAACTTGACCACACTTCAACCATGCCCGCACCACCAACCTCAATCTCACCCTCCATCACTCTCTCTCAAGTCAGCCAGAACGACACGATAGTCGCAATGGTCGAAAGGGGTCATTCCTGATTGACAAGGGGTGCATGCGCAGCCAGCCACATCGTCCAAACGTCCCTATCATCACACTCCACAGGCCAGGCGAGGCCACGCACAATATCGATCATATGCACCCATACTACATACTTACAGGTCGTAATGCTACAGGTCATTTTACGATAGAATCCAATCCATGTTGTCGTCATATCTTGGGACGTAACTACCGATCTCTTTAATATAGCCTGGCCACCTCTTGGTTACCAAGTGCTCTCCCTCCCTTCCGTCTCGTTCGTTGTTCCAACATTCAAGCACAAGTCATGGCTATCATAAACTCAGTGACCGTTTTCTCCTCCTCGCAGATTGTCTGGGGGGTAGTCTTTCTATCCTTTTGCTATGTAGCCGCTGTCGTGGTTTACAGATTATACTTTCATCCCCTCGCCAAATATCCCGGCCCCTTTTGGGCACGTATCTCAGCAGTCCCTGCATACTACTACACTCTCAGACAGGATCGACATGTATGGTTCTGGCAACTGCAAGAGAAATACGGTGAGCATTAGATGAATAACACAAGTTATTAGAACATCCCATTTTAACGAATATCCTCATAGGCCCAACCTTTCGTATTACTCCCAATAGTGTCTTGATCAACACTCCTACAGGCCTCAAGACCATTTTTAACAACAAGGCAAATGTCAAAAAGGCAGAATACTACAAGACATACCCACGTAATGTCCATGTCATGACAACATGGAACACCATCGACAAGACTATGCATGCTCGAAAGAGGCGAGTTATGAACCATGCCTTTTCTGATAAAGCATTGCGCTCCTGCGAACCTTTTATCCATTCCAACATCGACCGATGGATTGAGCTACTAGACCAAGAAATTGGAGAGAAGAAATGGTCTCCTTCACTCAACATGGCTCGTTGGGCGGATCATCTCATCTTCGATACCCTTGGGGAGTTGTGTTTTGGTAAATCGTTTGGCATGAAGGAGCATGATAGCGAGTTAAGACATATCCCAACACTCATGACTGACTTTATGTCGACAATCCACCCGGTAAGACCCAAAACACTCAATATTGACTTCTTATTAATGTTGGATAATAGATTGCCTACTCCCCCTTCGCTCCTCTCTGGGCATGGCTCAAGCCCCGAGGTTTGGATTTCCTTCTCGCCGCAGCAGCTCCTCCAGCATTTAGCAAGTGGCAGGCATTTGTCGAGCAATGCTTCACCGAGAGAGTCCAAGTCGAAAACAACATGAGGGGCTTGTGGGAGAAAGGCGATAGCCGAAAGGACTTCTTCCACTATCTCTTCCAGGCCGTCGACCCTGACACTGGAAAGGGATATAGCAAAGATGAGCTCTTTGGTGAGAGTGAGTCTCTTATTATAGCTGGCTCTGATACCTCTGCTATAAGTCTCGCTGCTGCTTTCTTTTACCTTTCTCGATACCCTCATGTTCAACAAAAGCTTGCGGAGGAGATCAAGTCTGCCTTCTCTACCGTGGATGACATCAAGGGTGGTCCAGCTCTCTACTCCTGTCAATATCTCCGAGCTGTCATTGACGAGACGCTACGTATGAGCCCTCCTGTCCCAGCCGATCTTTCACGAGAGGTCCAAGAAGGTGGCATTCTCGTCGATGGGGAGTATATCCCAGAGGGCATGAAAGTCAGCACCGCGTCCTACTGCATGCACCACAACCCTGATATCTATCCCGAACCATTCAAGTTTCGTCCCGAGCGTTGGATCGTGGACGAGAAGAATGAGTTTGGTGTTTCTCCCCTGAGTGTCTCTCTAGCTGAGAGTGCGTTTATGCCTTTCTCCACAGGCCCTCGAGGATGCGTCGGGAAGAACCTGGCTTATCTTGAGATGAGTCTGGCTCTGGCCAAGATTGTTTACCATTTTGAGATCCGACGTGATTTCAGCAGCAATCTTGGAGGTGGTAGTCCCGACGCTATCGAAGGACGCCGTACTGTTGATCAGTACCAACTGCGAGATATCTTTGTTGCTATCAGAGATGGCCCTATGGTACAACTTGCCAAGCGTTCATGAACAGATGGATTCCTCTTTAATGGGCTCGAGAAACCCCTTGACCATTATAACCTATCTTGAGTTCCCTTTCCTGGTTCTTTTGGCTTCGACGACTGATACTAGAAGTATCTTACGCTTCATGTACTACTATGACAAAAATTTGGCAATTCATAGAGTTTTTAGACTTTCATTAGGTGTAGCGTCAACGCTACCAAAGTCTGTAATAATTTGAACACTTCACTGGTAGTGATTTTGATCTTACATGCTACGGATGATGAAATAGAATGACGAATGTAACTTTTTATTTGTAGTTTCCGTAAGGAAAGTGCCGTTTCAGCTAAGAGTGAGAATCCTAATGGTTACCTGAGTCCCAAGTCTTTCGGTTCCTCTTCGAGAGTTGATGAAAACATCTGGCATAGAGTGAGTGTCTAGCCGTCGTAAAGACATTGTTTCAAGGTGAAGTGAGAATACATCACCAAGTCTAGACACTCAAAGTCTGCTGAAGGTAATAGTAGGCAAGTATTTTGGTTTGAAGTCTTTTTCACTGAAGCTACATTGTCGAGTCGTTGCTAAAGTCCCACCCAGGCTTCAGTACCTCTTCCTCTGAAGCGTCATACCTGGAGCAGCTGGTCAAGTTTGGGCTTCCCAATACAAGAAACTTGAAAAACCGGCATTGAACAAACTAGAACCGTTCCGCCTTAAGTATAGGCTTATTTGTTACGGGAGTTGCTGTGAGCTTGAGGACCAGAAAGTCTACGGGAAGCAATCGCTGCTCACACATGCACTGAAGCGTGACACCCAGGCAAAATTATGGTCTTGGTGTAGTTGGATTAATCCTGTGCTGTATATCAAACATGAGAAGAAAAAAAAAATAGGAGGTCTACAAAGAACCCCCAGATTCCATGCACCTTGACGCCCGCCCTTTGCGAATCTCAATGGACCAAAACCCTTCTCCTCCATCCGCGTATGTGCTTTTGCTCTGCCCAGTTGTATGGGGCCAACCTCCACCAACACTCATCTCGAAGACGAAATAGTAAAGAGGAAAAAAAAATGGAACAGGGGAATAAGATGACCTAATAGGAGGGGGAATAGAGAAAACATGGGGGGAAATGCGGGATGAAAACAAAGCTACACAAAGTGTGATAGACAAAAGAAATAGGTGACGGTTATACGGTCTTTGATCTCTAGGTAGAGGGGAGAAGTAGATCGTGGTCTAGCGCAGGCCAATAACACTCATCTCGAGGGTCCATACTCTTCGGATCCAGACCTTGAGCTTGCCCTCGACACCCGCAACATTCTCAAGCTCGACACCCTCCCACCAGCATCGCCGAGCAGGCTTACGCCAGAAGAGCAGAAGCTTCTGGGCCATACCGACAGCATTAGTGCCCATCTCGTTACCCCGAATGTCGCTGCGTAGACGGGCAAGAGCCAGACTGCAGATGACGGCCTTGTTAGGCTCACCAGCTCGGTGACCCCATCGATCATCATGGTTGAAACCACTAGTATAAGTAAGCATGCATCCATTGCCAGCTTCCCACAACACAGATAGTGAACTTACCCTGCCGTCAGCATCTCGATCAAGTGGGCCTCAGTAGTACCCGGCTCGTCGCTTCGCTTGAGACCCGAAAAGATGCCGTTCTGCTGCTGCAAAGCCTCTGCAGCTGCCCGTTTCACGGCAATCATATCAAGCGGGCCAATATCCGCTCGTGGAGGAATAGCATAAAAGTCGAGGTCCTCACGCAACACAATGATACCGGCTCGCTTAGAGTCGTCACGCGAGGTGCCGAGAGAAGGCGTATCCTCATCCTGAGACGCATTTGGTGATCCATCTGTGGGGATAGATTGTGCTACGTCCCTAAAGAAGTCAAGCATGTACTGAAGTGAAGCTGGGTCGTACTAGTTTCATAAGTCACTGTGTGCAGTAGTATAGTAGAAAGGACATTAGCTTACGTCGACTTGCACTGCATCGCCGTCTGCAAAGCCGCCCATTTGGCCCTCAGGGAATAATCCATTGGGGAACAAAGATAGCAGCACAAACTCGGGCAAAGTAAGGAGCTCGTCCCTAGAGAGATAAAACCTTGTGCCCCTATCTGAGAATTAGTACACTGACAGGTAAATACCCACTTGTAACGCTCACCTTAGGTCCATAGCAATCGTCTCATCAGCGCCAACATCTCCAAGAGTGCTAACAGGCGGCCCGCCCTGTTGCACCTGAGTAATAATACTCGCAGCTCCTCCTGCGGCAGCCATTAGGAAAGAGAATGTGGAAAGGGGACTATCGCCCTCTTCTGAATAAGCCGGAGGCGGTTCTGCGTCGTCGTCTTTGCGACTGGAATCTCCCTTGGTATCCCGAGGGAGCGCGCGCTTGGTCTCTGCGACTGGATCGCGGAATGCAGTAGTGCTTTGATCCGGGTCAAAGGGGAGAGCTTCTCTAGGTGAAGAAGATTCGTATGCTGGTGCAGCTGAGCCTGATGCCTCTGCTTCACAAGGAGAATGAGCGGTAAAAGCGACGAATTTGTCGGGACGCTCGTGAGCGTCGTGCGGTGGGGAGGTAAAGAGCGACGAGAAGGGGGGAGGACGAGAGGTTGAAGGTTCGGAGGCGGGATACTGCGGCGGAGGTGATTGATCGCGACTCAAAAGAATGTGTGATTCCGGTTCTTTGGCGGATTTGAGGTCGTCGGGGGTCGGTTCGCGATGATGACTTGATGTTGTTCGCGTGCTTGGCGGTCTTGATGAGTCTGGTGACGGCGTCTTCTTCTCCAAGGACACTGATGGTCCAATTCCAGCTTCCTGAAATTCAGACAGGATGGCGGCTTTCTTCTGGAAGAAAACTAGTCGTTCAGAGACGAAACTGCCCCAAGTTGGCAAAAGGAGCAGCGGGAAAAGAGTAGTCGATTTAGGATGGATGGGTGTGATGTGATTGATTCCAAAGGCGGTTGGCAAGGTAAACAGTCTAGTGATGGAGTCGAAACATTAAAGGTTGGCGGAAATTAAGCAAAACAGCCGAATCAGGATGGATCTCGTTCTTTCTCGTATCGCAAGTCGCTGCCTCGTCGCGTTTCGAGGCTCTGTCTAAGGTATTGGATATCTGGCGATGTGATGTGATAGATGCGATGTGATGCGTGAGTGAGGTTCACATTGGTCCTAATGGAAGAACAACGGGCAGCGCGATTCCCCATTCGATGGCGGCTGCTCCCCTGAGGTGAGCCCCCCAAGCTTGAGTGACACTAAATTGGAGCCCCGCGATATAGTTAGAGTGGCCAATCATAGCTCTGTTTGTGATACTTACAGGGTCCTAGCCGCTCACCTAAGTGGAGCGGCGGCGCTAGAGGCGCTGGAGTTGTAAGCCTAATCTTGGCATTCATCTTTGAGATGAGTGGTGATAATCATCCATGAAAGAGGGCAATAGTACTGATTATTTGGCTATTGAAGATTTTTTTACAATACATTAGCCTAATGTCAAGTTCCTCAACTCAGAGTTTGTATTTTGGGCTTAACGTGGACGTTGAAAGGATACGTAGTGGCTGAAACGACTCATCAACTGTCTTGTGACCAATGACTTGCAATCATAGATGGTATTATTTATTCGCTATCACTATCTCCAAATATTGCCCGAAGAACTTCATCATGTGCGGTTTTACCCTCAACTGCTTCATTCTTATGCGGATCAATGGCGGGCTCGGGTTCAGGAGCTGGTGTTGTTGTGTTTGCCGGGGCTCCTTCGAGTGACTTGATGCCTCGAGCCGGGAATGTTGTGTTCATCTTCGCATCTTCCATGGGTCCTAAACCTCCATCACGGCTTGTCGTCCCGGAGCCAGGTTCTGCCTCAGCCTCTGCTTGAGAGTGCGCGGGCGGCCTGACGTTGAACCGCTTGCACAATAGCCTTGTTGGATAAAAGTCTTCGACTGTTCGAGTCATTTGCCCATACATGCCAATTTTGGCTGCCTCTTCTGCTGGATCTGCGATCTTTGGTTCGGGTTTCGACACCAGATCTGTCTCAGATCCGTTTGCTGACACGATTGTTGGTTTCTTCGCCGTAGTGAATCGAGATGCCATAAACCCTGTCATCGGTTTGAAGATTCTCGCGCAATTGTGGAATTCCGACAATTCTCTGGCAAAGTCGTCAAACGCCATGCCCTTGGGTTTGTACGGGAGCGGTTGGCTGCCTGTTGCATAATGCTCCAGATAAGTTCTATACCGCGCCTTTTTCTCTTCATTGTCTGCGTAAGGTCCAGAGGAGCCTCGAGAGATAGCTGCAATAGCTGTCTCACGATCCAGCGGGGGTGCTTCATCCCATACCTGTTGCTGTCGTTCCTCTTCTGTCATATTGAATCCTTCTGGGACCTCTCCCAAACCTTGAGGTAGATTTTTGTTCCCGGAAGCAGCAGCAAGTCTGTCCCGTGCTGAGCTCGTGATATAATCGAAGACCGATTTTCCAGGCAGACTCTTCTCTCCAAGAAGGGCTGCTCTAGACTTTGCATCATGGGTCGATGCTTTCGCGGCATCCGCTGTTGACTTGTAATCTGAGGGATTGGCTTGGTCTGTAGGAGATTTTGAGGACGTCCAACCTTCTGGAACCGGAGGCGGTGCGTATTCCAAAAAGAGGTCGGATAAGTCTTCCGCAAGTTTGGCGAGTACAAACCCATCGAGTGGTAATCGCCCATCATGACACCGTCCAAGACCATTACCAGCTCGAGCAGTTCGAGACACAAAAACCGGCGCATTTTTCAGAGCAGGGTTAATTGCTGCCGTTGGTTTCTTCGCCTTCTTTTTCTTTTTATCACCGCCCATGACACGATTGTATCTGATCTTCGGTCCCATTTCGTAAGGGTCTTCCTCATCGGAGCCATTGTCATTCAAGATGCCCACTCCTATCCCGCCTCGGCCAGGCTTAGCCTTAGATTTCTGTGAGAGCAAAGAGGAATTCCGGAGACCATTATCGTGGAAATTATCTTCGTCATCGTCATCCTCATCTGCCGCGGACGTGATAGGATTCAAACTCGACAACTTGGTTTCTCCGTCATGGCCCAGTCCCTTTCGATCGTTCTTGCGAACAAACTGAATCATTTTTGTATTGTCAGGCGCAAACAAATGCGTTTCAACAGCCTGAGAGCTTTTATCCCCTAGCTCAAGCCGGGCGCTTCTCCGAATCTTGGGACCAATGCCTTGCCCGTCTTTCCATCCCATGCGCCGCAACAGCTTCAGTCCCATAGTATCTCCTTCAGCCCTCAGCAAGCCCATCAAGCCCCCAGCATTGGAATCCTGACCGGAGGAGCCAAGACCAGCAAATGCTTGAGAAGTCTGGACTTTCTGAGCTTCGGCGGCATCAGCAAGGTCCTCCTCATCCATGTAGTCTTCTGGTCGTTGTTGAGATTGGGTTTTGGCATGTTTGTGGCGGTTGTTTCTACTCGAAACGAAAGTCGACGGTGTCCATCCCTCCTTGGATCCGACAGTATTGAAGTAACTGCTGAATATCAGCGGAAAGTCCTAGGAAAGAGGTCTCTGTGCTTACCCTGCGCTCCATCCGCCTGTAAATGCGCCATGGAGGCGTTTTCGACCTCTCTCATCCCTCACCTCCTGCTTCCATACTGGAACGAAGGAGCCATCATCTCGAGCGTCAGGGTCATCGGGCAAAGGAGTGCCGAAAGCTGCAAAGGGTGCATTGAGATCGGCTTCGTAGGTCGTACGGGAGCGTTTATATGACATGAGACTGGGATGTCGGCGTGTCGCGTAGTTTCCTCAAAAGCATCGAATGCTAGTACTTATGTCATAACATGTGGAGAGTGTGAAGATCTTCAATGTTGTTGGAGAGTTTGCGATGACGATAGAAGCTGAGTCGTCGCGAAGCTTCAATTGGAGTCGCGACGTCAAATTGGGCTTATCGATAAGAAACAGAGTTGCGGCTTCTCCCATCCCATCCCTAAAATTTGGGGGCCTGGTGTCAGTCAGGCTTCATTCACCATGGACTTTTTTTAGATTGTGACAGGGGCTCTACCAAAATTGGAGAACTTCGGTCTAACTGAGATTCTTCAACGCCGGGTATGCAAGTGCACGCGTGTGAAATGTTGTCAATCGAGGACCGTTCCATTTGTGGAAGGACACAATCAGAAGCGCAGCTTTGAAACAGTTTTCCAAAGCTGTTCAACTGTGAACCATGTCATATTCATTCAGAGACGTCATAGTCCTCCCTCGCAGCCATGGCCTGGAGTTATTCTAGAGCAATACGAAAAAGGCTATTCGTCTTAACATCTCTCTACGGATATGGTTTCAGGCTTGACTTGAACCTCTAAACTCGGAGGCGTGACTCGGTGAGGCATTCTTTGCTTCTGATGGGCTGTTGGTGATTGTCTAGGAACCCTCGGCTGAAGGTTTGGCTTGGCATTCCGCCTGAGGACGGTGGCTGGCTAGGTAGAGGTGATTGCTTGGTGTTAGTGAACACGAGACAAGGATGTGTTGCATCACAGCACATCGCATCATACCCAACACTTCGCACAAGCAGCAAGGTCTCATGTAGTCGCCCGGCTTGTGGCTGCTTCGATTTTGCTTCTTCTGGCTCTGGAACAACTGTCGCATTCCAGCCCAATGGTTTCCAAGACACATCTGCCGCAAAAATGAGATGAGATGTGAGCATGACTGCAGGATATATGAAAAGAAGCGAAGTGCTCCGCTGTGTCCAGCAAGGCATGAAATTGAGGCTCACGATTTCTTGCAAATCACAAAGATGTCATAATAAGCTTAGTTGAATTGCATAACCCATTGCAATCAACAGATATTTCCGCAATTCTCTTGAGCTCCGAGGCCTGACGTCCAACCTTGAAACCCCAGCCTCCAACCCCTCGTCTAATCAGCCACGTAAATTTGCAGCACTTTGCGACAGATCCACTTAATAGATCAGAAATGCAGTGCTCTGGCTGGGTAGCTGACGTCGGATTATGATTCTTGGCTGTGCTCTTGCTATAAACAGGGAATTTGGCTTGGTAACGGTCAGAGATATCGTGGAGCGAAACAGCCCAAAGTCTACCAATTGCAGCATGTGCAACGGTTCTCAATCGAGGCTTTGTTGACCACTAACTCGAATAGAGACCAGTGGCTCCGACAATGTCGTCAAGGCTATCGACTAGCAAGTGAAGAGATCCATTCCTGACAGTCCAGCGAAATGAGAGCTCAGCTCGAGCGAGATATCTCATCTCCACCCAGGACTGACCGTTGGTGGAAAGATGAAGCTACCTGCGTACTAAGTGGAAAGTCCCCTGAAACGACTGAGATGCCCTGTTGTGCTAAGTTAGTTGGGTAGCTCAAAGACAGCTGGACGGACGGTGGTGCGTGAAGTCTCGGCAGCTTGCAGCTGGAGACATCCAGGTGTATCCTGGGCATCCAAGAGTTTAGAACCCAGGTTAGCATATGGGACATGCCGCTGCTGCTGCTGTCCGCCAGGACCAAGTCATTTTTAGCTACAATACCCATTATCCAATCTGAATCTGGTACCTAATAAGCTGCTTCTTTTTTCACCCGCCCCCCGATTTGGGATATGACAGACGCTGTGCTGTCTTTCTTACTCGATCTGCTTGTCAGGTTTTGAGATCTTTACTCTCTCATCCTCTTGCATCTGTCTATTTGCATGCATATTTGCGTTGCCTTGTCTTCCATTGCCAGCAGCTACTATATCTCGTTCCCATCTCCGTCGTATACCAGGCTCGGATTTACACTGCCGTAGCACTCACGACTTGCTGGTTTATATCAAATCAAGACTACGACTACGGCACTTCTCCCTTGTCTTACTTTTGTCATTCTTTTGCATATAGCGCAGTTTCGCTTTGCATTCGACCTAACTGCTCCAAGCATCTTTTTGTCTGTGTCTGAGTCTGAGTCTGAGTCTGAGTCTGAGTCTGCGTCTCGGTCTCGGTCTCTTATGCGATTGCCAATATCACACCCCCTCGTCATCGCAAATCGCAAGCTGAGAAGAGCCCTCAGCCCATGATAGTAACCAGGTAATCCTGCCCTTTCACCTCTCACGTCGTACTCGGCCGGCAGAAACACCAAGGGCCTGGCTAGTATTCGACAGCAATTGCGATTACGTTACGACTGCGTTGGCATCTGTTACTCCAATCCATTTTCAAGGCCTAATAAGGACTCAGACTGGGTCATCCTCCCTGCCTACCAACTTAGGCATTGATGCTACAGCAAGCGAACGACAGCTCACTGCCCCTTTGAGCAAACAAACCCCAGAGTAGAAGGGGCCCGTTCAGTTCATCGACATCCCGCCTTTTTACACCGTCTGTCTCTCACAACTGCACAGCGCATCGCAACACAGCATAGCATAGCATAGCTAGCGTTTTAACTTGGCAACAATGGGAACGAGAACAGCTTCTTCTGCTGTTGCTGATGCATCACCGAGAGGACCTGGTCGCACTCAGTCTACACGGTCTTCTCGTTCCAGTCGGGCTCCAGCTCCCTCTTTTCCTCCCTCGTCCTCCGCTTCAGCGGCCCCAGCAGCGCCTGCACCAGCCACGCCCACTGGAACAGGTGCCAACTACACCCAATCTCACACCCGCCAGTTATCACACTCACATTCTCAATCTCGCTCCCAATCCCAATCCCAGTCCCAAGCCTACGCCTCCCGCTCTCAATCCCATTCCCACTCTCACTCCCGCTCTGGCTCAAACGCCGCCAACTCACATCTCCCCCCTCATCATAGCCATCATCAGCGTACTACCTCATCTTCACGTCCTCACCAGTCGCAACCTGTACCGCAAAATGACTACGAATCCTCACGCCTAGCCGCATCCGCAAACCATCAAAGAAGCTCGAGCAAGGAACGACCACCCCCGGCCAGGGGCCCCGATTCCTCGCGGGCCCATCGACGGAGCTCTTCTCGCTCAAAGAACAACCACCACAGCCCTCATCCCGAAATGCCTCCTTCCGCCAACCCTCCCAGTAATGGCGCTGGCAATGGAACTGCTTCTCAGCAGCATGGCCATGCCGACGCGCCACCTCGAACTTCAACATCTAAACACGCGAGATCACGCACCGTTATCCCAACTCAATCTGGAAAATGGATGCTAGGCAAGACCATTGGCGCCGGCAGCATGGGCAAGGTTAAGCTCGCCCGAAAGGAGGACGGCAGCGAACAGGTGTGTTTTGGATTTATCTTTTTTGTTTGATGTCCCCTATTTCCGCGCATTGTTTCATTATTCGGCTATTCGCATTCATTCATCCATCCATCTGCCCCTCATACCTAAGCCGCGATGATGCTTATCATGCTTTAAATTTCCACGATACTAATCGCACCTCACCAGGTCGCCTGCAAAATTATCCCTCGTGGTTCGACCGACGATGGCCACCAATCTCGTGCCGACAAGGAACGCGCCGATCAATCCAAGGAAATCCGAACTGCCCGCGAAGCGGCTATCAGCACCCTCCTGAATCACCCCCACATCTGCGCCCTTCACGATGTGGTTCGTACCAACCACCATTGGTATATGCTTTTCGAATACGTCAACGGCGGCCAGATGCTCGACTACATCATCTCGCATGGAAAGCTCAAAGAGAAGCAAGCCCGGAAGTTTAGTCGGCAGATCGCAAGTGCTCTGGATTATTTGCATAGAAATAGCATCGTCCACCGAGATCTCAAGATTGAGAACATACTTATTAGCAAGACGGGCGACATTAAGATTATCGATTTTGGGCTAAGTAACCTCTTTGCTCCGCGCGGCCATCTCAAGACTTTTTGCGGCAGCTTATACTTTGCTGCTCCCGAATTGCTGCAGGCCAGAGCTTATACTGGTCCAGAAGTTGACGTATGGAGTTTTGGCATTGTTCTATATGTTTTAGTCTGTGGCAAGGTTCCGTTCGATGACCAGAGCATGCCCGCGCTCCATGCCAAGATCAAGAGAGGTCTTGTCGATTATCCCGCATGGCTGTCAAGCGGTAGGTTACTCAGGTGTTGCTCCTGTACTATTTTCTAACTGGATTGCAGAGTGTAAACACCTTCTGTCCCGCATGCTGGTGACGGACCCCAAGCAGCGAGCGACAATGCAGGAGGTGATGACGCATCCATGGATGGCTAAAGGCTTTAACGGTCCCCCCGATAACTACCTGCCCATTCGCGAACCGTTGACGACGCCACTCGAGCCAGAAGTCATTCTCGCTATGCAAGGCTTTAACTTTGGTACACCCGAAAGTATAAATGCACAACTTACCAAAATCATCGAATCAGAGGAGTATCAACGCGCCGTTAAGCTCTATCAACGAGAAAAGGAGCTCCCCCCTCCCGCCAAGGATGCCGAAAAGAGGAGACCATTCGGTTTTGACTTTTATAAGCGCAGGAATTCTGGTAATAGTCGCGATACTTTATCAGCTCCTAGCTCTGAGGCACTGCAGATCGGTAACGATCCTATGAACGCATTTAGTCCTCTTGTATCCATATACTACCTCGTTAAGGAGAAGCAGGATCGTGACCATGCTGATATGGTTCTGCCAGCAGCAGCTCAAACCCGTGACAAGGAGAAAGAGAAGGAAAAGGAGAGAGAGAAGGAGAGAGAGAAAGAGCGTGAGCGCGAGCGCGAGCGTGAACGTGAACGTGAACGTGAGAAGGACCGGGAGAGAGAAAAGGAGCGTGAGATCCGTGAAAAGGAGAAGGCAAGGGAGGCAGAACCGATGCCCGAGATTGCGGCACCGCAAGCAGCCCACACCAACTCTGCCGCTTATGAAATGCCCGGCGAGAAACCTACTGGTGGACGAAGCAGACCTCGCGCGAGGACACATGGCGAAGACGACATGCCCGAGGTACCGAAACCTCCCCCTGCACCACCCGCCGAGCCAAGAGTTGAGCAACTTCAAAAGAAGGAGGGCACAGCAGCTGGTATTCTGCGTAGGTTCAGTACACGCAAGCGTAGAGACCCTGAACGTCTAGACAAAGACCGATCGCATCCTCCTGTGGTGCAAGTCCATTCACCAGCTGAACCTTCTCCGTTGGCACCCCGCAAGAGCTTCAGTATCCGTCGTGGACGCCGCGATAGAGAGGATGCATCGGATTCGCAAATCCGTTCCGCGAGTGGTCAGCAGCATGGTGAGCTCCTTAGCCCACCAATGTCTGCAGGTGGTTCAAGGGAGAACAGACGAGGAGGTGGCCTGGGTCGGTCGACTAGTGTCAATTCGGCTGACCTGAGACGGCGAAAAGACCCCCCAGCAACGAGTGGTTCTGATCAGAGTGTCGCAAATGAAGATTCCTCCAGCACACACCGTGCCCACGGTCACTCCCGGTCTGTGAGTCTGAGGGCCAAGTCTATTGGACATGCTAGGAGGGAAAGTATTCAGCAGCGTCGCATGAGAAGAGAGGCTGCTCAAGAGGCCAATGTGCCTGAAGAAACAGACCAAGAACTAGAGCAGAGTGGTGTATCCACAGACCGGCTAGACGACACAGAACTTGCCAAGCCAGTATTCCTGAAAGGACTTTTCAGTGTATCGACGACATCTGGCAAGTCCGTCCCTGCGATTCGAACCGATATCAAGCGAGTGTTGCGGCAGTTAAATGTGGAGTATACAGAGATCAAAGGCGGCTTCAACTGTCGCCATTCGCCCAGTATCGACCTGAACAAGGTACAAGATCCTCCCATGAGTCCCGGCATGACACCAGGCCACAAGCGACGATTCAGTTTCGGCGGCCTTATGCGGGGAGACGATCGTGAGCGTGAGCGGGACGAGTTCCGCGACTCAGAACGACCTCCTACTACACCACGAACGCCAGGACGCTCTGATCGAGACCGCAGCTTTTCCAACTCCGAGACCTCATTCGACAGTATTCCTGGCAGGAATGGGGGTCCATCAAGGCGAATCCCTGGAGAAACGAGCACGCAAGTGCAGAGTGATCTCGGAGGAAGCATGGTGCTGGAGTTTGAGATTTTTATCGTAAAGGTCCCATTGCTCTCATTGCATGGCATTCAGTTCAAGCGATTGACAGGCAATACGTGGCAATACAAGAGCATGGCGGACCATATTCTTCGAGAGTTGAGGCTATAAGCACTCGGCTGACACTTGTCTAAGAAGAAATTTGCAACATAGGAGTTTGGTTGAAGCAAGCACTGGGAAGGAGTTGCGTTGTTCGTAGACGTGAAGCATGGCTAGCTCTAAGCACGTACGTGGTTGGTTGTATAGTTCGATGGCGCTTTTCGTTATTTTAACTTCTAAGCATGGGTCGTCATAAAGAAAGCACATGGTGGTAATGATTTACTATAGCACTTACAGAGAGAGGAAGTAGGAGAAAACCTATGAATGTAATTGGAGATTTTATGCTAAACATGACTGAGACTGACTAGGTACCTGGCCAAGTCAGGTAGACTATACCTTGCTGACCATGACGCTGAAATATGTGATTGCTACTCAGAAACCGTCGAGTCTTTGGGACACAGATCGAGCTGTGACAAGGCTTGGGTAGGACAAGGCTGACAATGATTGTTTATTACCTTAGGTAGTGATAGGTTGGCATGGGAGAGCTACCTCCCCGCACTTGCATGGCCATGTAGACTTTTGCGCCATTGTCGCATACAGGGATACATGTTTGTGGTCCAAGCGTCAAGTCCCGATGCCAGAGCCTGTTTCACCTATCACAGCCTGAGCTCCATAATGAGAAGCAGGCTGACCAATCCCATCAGCAGAAGCCGAATGGCTCTTTGCCCCAGTAGCACCTGCGAGCACCACCACAAACCAACCCGCCAAACGATCTCACCTTGCTTGCTTGGGTTTGAACCTCCCACTTACTTACCGTGCCTTGATCACCCCGACGATACAATAAAGACCCTCTCGATTGGAATCTAGTCGAAAAGAACCGTTAGCAGATATTATACAGTCCTTTCTCCAACAAAATTTTAGTTTCCTCACCGTTTATTCCCCCTTCACCCATTGGAAGTGTTTCGTGTACCTCCGCATTTGCGCCCTCGATTCATCAACCCGATTTCAAACTCGCTGCGCCTGACGATCGACCGACCCTCCAGCCAAGCTTGCAACGTTAACGTAAAATATTACTGCTCGACTTGCAAGTCATAAAACCATAACCTCCGTTCCGAACTCTGTCGAACAAGAAAAGATACGCCCATCATGATGCCAGCGGCGCACGTCTACGGACACCACCAATTCAACCCTCAGGGAGGAGACTCGGCATGGATGCACCAGCAGCCTGGCGCGCATCACGCCCATACCCAGCAGCAACAACAGCAGGTGGCCGCTGCAGCCGCTGCCGCCGTTCAGCAGCAGCAGCAGCAGCAGCACTTCAACCGTCTTGCTGGCGCGGGTCAACTCCCCGGCCACGGTCAGGATGCCGATCACAGCAATGTCTCGGAGGACAACCGGCGTACCATGGCCTTCATCGCCGATCTTCTCAACGAGAACACTCGGGAGGCTGCTTTGTTGGAACTTAGTAAGAAGCGCGAACAGGTCCCCGAGTTGGCCCTCATATTGTGGCATTCATTCGGTACGTGCCCAACTCGTCTTGTCTTGGGCTACCAAGCCTGTAGCTGGAAGAAGACAGCTAACATGTCTCTCAGGTGTCATGACCTCCCTCCTTCAAGAGATCATTTCAGTCTATACTCTTCTTAACCCATCTCAGCTTACTGCAGCTGCCTCGAACAGAGTGTGCAATGCCCTTGCCCTCCTCCAATGCGTAGCTTCTCACAATGATACAAGGACCCTGTTCCTCAATGGTGCGTATATCGTGGCTCAAATTCAGGTGTCACACGGCTCACAATCTATAGCACACATTCCTCTGTTCCTCTACCCCTTTCTTAACACCACTTCCAAATCTCGGCCTTTCGAGTACCTCCGGCTTACGAGCCTGGGTGTTATCGGTGCGCTCGTCAAGAATGACTCGTCCGAAGTCATCAACTTCCTCTTGACCACAGAGATTATTCCTCTCTGCTTGCGCATCATGGAGACAGGTTCGGAACTTAGCAAGACCGTAGCCATCTTCATCGTTCAGAAGATCCTTTTGGACGACAACGGTCTTAACTACATCTGTGCCACATACGAGCGTTTCTATGCTGTTGGTACGGTCCTCAGCAACATGGTTGCTCAACTTGTCGAATCACAGACCGCTCGTCTCCTCAAGCACGTTGTCAGGTGCTTCCTTCGGTGAGTTAAAGACGTGTCTACTCTGTTGTTCATGGTCTAATCGATAATCATTTAGCTTGAGTGACAACGCTCGCGCTCGTGAGGCTCTGCGACAGTGCCTTCCTGAACCACTCCGTGATGCTACCTTCTCGTCCGTTCTCCGTGATGACGCAGCGACTAAGCGATGCCTGGCCCAGCTGCTTATCAACTTATCGGACAACGTCGCGGATCCTAACTCTGGTGGTGTGTCCGGCATGTAAGAGCGGAGAGACTAATATCGGGATGGCTACTCAACCTCCCGTTGTGACAATACATACCCCTTGTGCATTGATACGGCGATTCATGAAGGACGGGCAATTTTTATTTTTATGATATTCTGGGAAAAGCGAAGGGATCAAAAGCATATTGCATCGTTGATACCCGCAACCCCTCCGGCTCGAAGCGCCGAGAGAAGTCCAGAGCTCCAGCAGAGCAACTGGACCGACTTCTCTTCCAACGCCGCTGACGGTTATGGGACTTGCATTCTGTTTCACATACCTCGGAACTGGGTAAAAGAGGCTTCTATCGATCTGCCACAGATCACTAAGGCATGGCGCATCGTTCTTCTTACATAGCTTTTCCATCTAGCAATCTTGGCTGCTCAATGACCGAGCTTGAGACGGATAGGAAGGACACTTTTGAAACGGGCTCAGTCTAAATATACGAAGGAAGATCTATGGGTGGTTACTAAGGGGGGTTCATGTAACAGGTATAAGGATAGCTAGCTGACTGCCGGCTGGAGAGGCGCTGGATAGACTTGGTCGGAGGCACATGGAAAGTCTTTAACATGCCTGGTTTGGTGGTGTTTTGGCGTTGGATGGTGCATCAGAGACACGGTGTTGGTCAGGTTTAGGGGTGTATATTGTAGGAATTGCAGCTTTATAAAAGATGTGTTCAAAGTTGATATCAGTGATGCTCGGGAGACATTACGGAGCATAAGTCATCGAGGCAAACAATTATCACCCGTGGTTCAACCCGGCACAGCAGAGTACGAGTATCAAGCTAAAAGAAGCCATCTATAATGCCAGCAGTACTAAGAGGTCAAAGTCCATAAGACACCTTAGCCTATGGACATAGGCCTTTAAAGTACTTGGGATTTGCTTCAAATTTGTATACAAAGATTCCATCGAGAAATGCAGCCTGGTTCTCATAGTTGCAGGTTTCTATCAAGTCAGAACACAAAAAGTGCCATGAGGAATGAATTGCCAATATTGGTAGAGATAAACAAGCTGAGGGGGCAGAGAGAACCCTGGTCCTGGTACAATGCTTTTGTGTATTCAAACTCGTATCATGGTGAGTGACATACAAAACGTGAAGGTATCTAGTACAATTACAAAAGCCCACAGAAAAGCCTCTTCCATACGGGACGAGGCTCCGATCGCTGCTCAAGAGCGTGCTTCTTGAGATCACCATCGTCGTCGCTGTCGTTATCATCCTTCTTGACAGCAGCGATCCAGTTGACATACAACTTGAAGTCTCCATCCTGCTTATCAAAGAAGCTATTCAACGTCAGCAACCAATCTTCTTCGATTCACACAAAATACTTACCTTCGTGCCATGAGAGATATCCTCTTTATGTCATTCAACTTCAACGGCTCAGGATCCTCAACCTCCCTCCCACGATAGGTCGCCTTGAACTCATCCCACTTCATGAAAATCTCGCCTCCATTCTCCGGCACCTCGAAGTCATACTCCCAGCTCACACCAGCCTCATCTCGGCCATCCCCCCTCTTTCCGGGAATGGTGTCCTTGACGTTGAGCGTAAAAGTCTGATCCGAGCTGTCCCAGCCGAGGGAGAGCTTGATGCCCTCTGTGCAGGATAGATCGAGGGCCAGATCGCCGACTGTGCGCTGGGAAGCAAATCCAGCGCCGCCAAGGGTCTTGGTGTCAAGATGGCCGTAGAACTTGGCTTGTGTGGGGTGAGTGTAGAGGTGTGAGATGCTGGAGCCGCCGCGGACGCGATCGTCTGAGGCAGTCCAGAGACCACTATCCCACGCCCTTGAAGATGTTAGTTAGCTAGCTAGCTTGTCATTGGGGTAGATACTGATACGTACTTGGAGCCGCCGAAGATGTATTGCAGATTGTTTGACATACTCATTTTGTTTTCACTGTCAATTGAAGGAAGTGAAGGGAATTGAGTGAATTGAGATGCCTGATGTTTTGGTATGAGCGGATGCTTTAAATGGATGACATAATTGAGTTTGGTTGTAGTACCACGCCAAGTCGGCAGTTGAGATGCTTACGTACAGCAGTCAATCAAGCTTCAATATCCCTTGTGAACGCAGCATTTCCTCAATCATGATGTTCCTTTCATTCTTTTACTGATTTGCCTCTCTAAAACAATGAAGCATCTTCATCTTTAGACACTCCAAATCGAGATACGTCATAAGAACATCAACCCCAAAGATGGCTTCTAATAGTCTCTAGCCAACCTCTCTCGTCCCGTTCGCACGGACATGTAGACTATGGCGGCAGTGGTAGATAAAAACAAGGTTCACACCTCAGAAGCATAACGTTGGACAACGGAGATGCCTAATAATCAATAACGGTACCTTTCATTCAGGTGTTGGTCCAGGCGCTGTTGACAGTCTTTGGGCCGTGGGTTAACTTAGATCATGTCTAGCCTGGAATCGAATAGCGGCAGATCGAGGTCCAGACCTCCATGTCTATGGTGGTGATCTTGAGCTGGTAAAAGTCAATTCATGTCAGTATCGAGATGGACTGTACTGCAGACAAAAGAACCAGACCTAGCCAGACTCTTTGCCTTGTTACTTAGCGAATTGTTACAGAAACTTGCTTTTTGGTGTTGTGCCTCTTCTGGTGATTTGTCTGCAATGATTTGGGGGCCATTGTTTGATCTGCAGCGTCAAGGTTGGTGGTAATTGAATACATCCAATATTTCAACACTTTGTCCACAGCCTACCTACAGCTGAGAATCATATCCGTCCATCTACTCACCTTTTACTGTACATACACGCAGACTCACACCCTTTTTCAATCCCCCTCTCATTTCATTTCATCTCCTCTCGCTCCTAATCATCCGCCACTCCCGGCAACAGTATCATTTGCCACTAGAGCAGACGAGGGTCCAAATCCTCCCTGAACTCCCTGAGAAGCCAGCGTGAATCTTGACCCGAGCCTGATTTCACTTCTTTTCTTTGTTGTCCGTAGCCGTAGGAGCCGGCAGGACCACGTACGTCGGTGCCGAAGAGGCCAGGCCAGGCCATGCCATGCACACACAGAGAGAGGCCCAATAACATGACGGATATAATGCCAACTTGTAACACAACAAAACGCCCGGATTTGGCCCATGCAACCCTCCTTGGCACGTGGAGGTAGGTAGGACTCGGACTCGGACTCAGAAAAAGGTCTCCCAAATCCCAATCCCAATCCCAAAATACTTTCAATCACATTCACACTCACACCCTAGCACTCCGGTCTGTTAGTGGTAACCGCCGAGCCAGCAACACCTCACTCACTCACATACCGGTCAGGTCCAGCAGGTCACATAGCGCATAAAAGTCTCCGTAGCATATCAGGAAAAGAGGGAGGGGGGACAGACATAACACGCAATCCAATACGGAAAATGACACCCAACAGAACAGAACAGAGACAGACAAAGGCAAATAGACGAGGCTCTGGGGCGCAAGTTCTGGATTCCGCCTCAGTCGTCTAGCTCAACTCGCACATGCACATGGAACATGGAGCTGAAGCCCCCCTCTCAAGCCATCGACTGACTATGGCACATTACCCGAGGCTCTATCTATTCAGCTCCGTCTGTCTGCGCGAGTAGATAACAAACCAGGTAAACGATAAAGCAAAAGCAGTAACTGAGCTGCACTACCAACATGCATGTCCCTTGATCTTGATCTTCACAAGGGAGGTCTAGCTCTATCATACCATACCATACCATACAGTACCATGCCAACTCTGTTCTAGCTCAGCCAGCCTCATTCACTCGTTCATTCATTCATTCATTATCTAGTTGGACTAGACTCATTCATCAGTCCTAGATCCTTGGGCCACTTTCATCACATCACAATCATCATGAAACACAGCCAGCTCATAATTCGTACACTTCACTTCACATCAATGCAGTCAAGTACAAAGCGCTATGCACATTTCATCATCTAATTTGTCTCCGTGGCTCAAGATATCTATTCAACCAACACTAACAAGAGTGTAACTTAAGTGGCCAAGCCAAGCGAGGTCTCTCGACCCCGCAGCCGCCATCTTTGTTGTTTGTTTGCCTCCTTGCCTGCTTTCAACCTTTGCCAGTCCAGTCCAATCCAATCCAGTTCAGTGTCTGCCCAATATACATTCGGATGCATACAAGCGTATGCCGTATGCATTCCCAAAACGCCTCACTTGTCTTCTTTTCCTTCGCCGTTCCAAATAAGCAATTCGTCCGTGCATCTTGCAGCCGTTACAGAAATCACATAGTCGAGCGCTTCGACCCTGTGTACATAAAACGAATGCAGACGAGTAAACATCCTCTCGCCTGTGACATAGATACCTTTGCCAGTACCAAAAGAAGTGAAAAGTGTGGAGTGTGAAAGTGTTCAAAATATCAAAACCCGCCATGCTATGCCTCGTAGGGCTCATTTCCAACGCCTAACCCAAAATCTCAAAGTTCGTTCGCTATGTTTCTTTCTCTCTCTCGTCCATGCCAGCTGCCCTATTGGTGCTGGATTAGACCAGGCGAGCCAGGCATGGAAAGAGGCGTGGCAGGGTAGTCGAATCCAGCCTCTGAGCAGTTGGCAGAGTGGTCGAAAGAATGTGACAGCGGAGGAGTCTGCGAACCCCATCAGCAACGTGGATCTCGTACAACCCCACGGGGCGTTTGACTGGCGTGACTCACATGAGGGTTGGACTGTTCGTATGGGCTACCAGAGTTGAAGTCCATGGGTGGCATGTAACCGTAGGTCATGTAAGGAGTGAGTCCGTCGTCACTAGGGTACGTCTCCCGCTTGATGGCATCGCTAAAGTGCGTCATGGAAGGAAGTGTCATGGGCACTGTAGACGCTGTCATGTAGTTGGGGTAGGCATCAGCGGTTGTGATGGCTGGGTATGACTGAGTAGAACCGTAGGGTGCGAGGAGGATCTCATCGGGAGCAGGGTATGTTGAGTATGTGAACTGAGGAGGGCTGTCTGAGCGAGCTCGGTCGTCGTAGTTGCCAGAGAAGAAAAGCTCGTCAGTATGCTCCATGGGAGGAGTGAACTGGCCCTGTGAAGCAACAGACTTGCTGGGAGCTCCGGATTGCGATTTTTGAGACTTGGGTGCGGAGGGGGATCGCTTCGACTTGGTAGGTTTCTGTGGCTGCTTATCGGACTCGGCATCGTCAGAAGAACCAGCACGGCGCTCGAGGTCTTCAAGGCGGCGCTTGAGCTTCTTGCCTGAAAATGACTGTTAGTTCTGCAAAAACAGTTCATGAGGCTCCAGAGTGAATCTAGAGTCAAGCAGGCTCAACATACGGTAGTTGCGCTGAGCAATGCGGTTCTGTATTCTTCGGCGCTCAGCAAGGTCAGAGATCTTGGTCCAGTCCTCGTCGGGGTTGGCAGAAGCACTGAAGGCACTGCTTGTTCCCGAGTATTGTCTGGGAGGTGGAGGAGCTGCCGCGTAGGCGTAGGCGGGTTGTGTCATAAACATGGACATTGTGAAGTTGTTGTATGTGTGAGTGTGGGGTTGCTTGTAGCTGAGAATTGTAACCGTCGATTTTGGAACGACGAAGCTCTAGATGGCCCAAAGCAAGATTGGGAGAGTTGGTTTATTCTCAATTGTTTCCTGTATCTGTCTGTCCTCTTGTGTCTGTCTTTATATCCAAACGAACTGAGAGGCTATGATGGTCAAGGCGAGATGGTGAGTTGCTTGAGGTGAGGATGGTGGCAGTGGGTATATATAAGTAGAGATGAGTGCAAGATGAGAGTGATCAAGAAGATCTGAAGCTACTTGAAGCTGAATCTGTTGATGAACTTGGAGATAGATGGAGAGCAAGACGGTTGGTGAGGGGGAAGAGGCTGTATATTAAATAAATGTCCCCAAAGCTGCGCGGAGCAGGCATGGCATAAGGTAACGGAAAGACCCAAGGACGTGAGTGAGTGACGAGTGAGTGGAAGGGACCCTACAAGGGCAGGGGCGTGTAGGGAGTGCGCCTACCTTGCCTTACGGGTACCTACTGTACTGTACTGTACCCATGGGGGGGTATCCAGCGCTGGACATTGCCTTGCCCTGCGCTGTGCTGCACTTTCCACTCTGTTTCTGGTGTCTCTTTGATCAATCTGCAGTGTAGAGTGAGTGAGTGAGTTAGGTTGAATACACGCCTCTCCCCCCTACCCCTCCATCACACACAGACATCCTCCACTTTCCACATCGCACACCTCTCCCCTAGCACTACCTAACTTAGTACCCAGCACCCAAGACGGCACGGCCACACACAAGCAGAAAAAGGTCCCTGGCTACCTTCCCTGGGCCTGGCACCAGCACCAAGGAGAGGGGGTGCTGTTTAGTTGCTTGCGGGGGCTCTTTCGCCTCTGTCTCTCAGTCACTCACTCACTGTGTCTCTCTCTGGCTGGCGCTGGCCTCACAGGGCTGGTGCTCATCACCCTCTGAGCCCCAATCCAATGCACTCTGCAGACAAGGTCATCGTAGCTCATGGTACGTACCTCCGCCTTTTCAACCTTTCCATTCAAGTCGGACTGTCTCCACTGGCGCTCGCACTCGTTCCTCTCTCACTGGGCCATTTGCGATGCTACGGGGCATCGAAATCTTCTCGCTACGATCCTTGTGCCAAGCATTTCGTTCACTCATTCTCGAGTCCAGGGCCGCAGTTTGGCATCGCGGCTACTGATAGCGAAAGGCGAGACAGTTATGAATTACTTCATTTTGAATTTATTGGATTTACGAAGGCGACATGAGAGATGCACTGACTGTTGGCCACTACAAATCCTCCACTAATACACTTGAAACTGTCTCATTTGGTACAGTACGGCCCGTGCTGTCGACGGGCGATCATCAAGGATTTATAATAAACTCCGCTGGCCATGTCCGAATCCGACTCCATTCGGACGAATAGAGCAAATTACCAGGATACATACTGACAAATTCATTATCCATTTGTGAGCAGGTTTGCTATCATGATGATATGGCTAGCCAGATGAAATGCTGAATGATGAATCCAAATATCTGGATGTCTGCCTATATGCACAACAACCTCGCTGTGGAACAAGGAGGGGAGTGCTGCCATCCCACACAACGGTGTCTCGTCAAAAGAGCGGGATTCACTGAGTTACAGATCGGGGCTCAAGTAGGGCATGAGACGGGATTGAGCATCTGTTGTGTCTTCTCATGCTATATCAAAGCATGGCATACGCTATACTACACCATACTGCGCCGTGCTATGAAGCAGTAACGTATCGTATGCCAGATACGGCTTGGTTTGGAATGTGAGCGTATAGGGTTTTACCAGTTCTGAACCGTTCGTCACGTAACATCAACGGTGGAGAGATAACGAGACGATGAACTACTAGGCGCAGCCAAGTCACCAGAAGGGCGGGAGCAAAATAGAAGAGAAGCCATCAGAGAGGCTGGCGCTATTAACAGAGCAGATGCCACATTCTAACCGTCTGGAAAGCCAACAACTGATAGAGAGACGAGGACAGAGAGGTACTGTACTGTAGGTTCCTTTGAAAGCTGGCACTGCACTCCCTGTGGTGGACGCTAAACAAGCAAGCCAACCAGGTCCCCGAGATCAAGCCATGGACCAGCAAAGAAGCTTCAAGGCAGACTCGATGGAAATCTGGGCTAAATTTGCCCATAATTAGGTACTTAGTCTATCGAGTCGATTGCCGTCTCCGTCTCTAGCGCAGCGTAGCATCGCCCTGCTTCCCCTAGTTAGCACTCCCATGCCAGGCCCCCCCAGGTCAGTCCCAGTCCCAGCACCCAGGAGCCAGGGCACGTTCACTCACGTCCAGTCCCATGTCCTGGGGCTACCTTATCCACTGTTTTGAACTGAGCCTCTTGTCTGCCATTTGAAATTCCCTGTCCCAGAGAAAGGGTTCCTCTTAAAGCCGATGGAGACAGTCACCAATACAACCCAACCCTGGGAACACATCAATAGAGGCTGGCCAATCACAAATAGGTCGACCCGAGCCCCCATAGTGGTAGAAGAGAGACCCCGAAATGATTAGCTTTTGATCCAACTCAGCCCTGGGACCAATTGGAGTCCCACAATCCCAGGCTCTCTCACACTCAAGACTTTGTGTGAGTCTTGTCTTGGACTGTCAGTCGCTCCAAGGACCGTTTTGCCGGGTAAGAAGACCTTTTGGCCGGGCCGATCATGTCGTTCATTCTGGCAGCGCCCGTCGTAGGGCTGTGTGACGACACGATTAGTTCTTATTCATCAGAGAAATGTCCAAGCCCTGCCACAGGATATTAGTAGCAGCAAGTGTACGTATATAGATAGAGTCACTGTCGACTATTCGTACTATTTCGGTTTAGATCTGTCCATGTCCCAAGAGAATGCCGCTCCCGGTCTGGAGATCTTGTCTAATGACTCTTCTCTACCCTGCCAGCCCTGCCTTACCGGTCTCTGATGCACAAGACGACAAGCGACATCAAAATCGTGCCATCTTCCCCAGTTGCGCGCCTATCCCTACCGTTGTTGTCTTGAGGACCCAGGTCGAGCAGTTCCCCGACACCCGACACACCCAACCACATGGCTACAGGACGATGAACCCCTGTGAATAATCACCGGAATATTACTGTGAGTTAGAGTTGCAGTTACAGTAGCAATAGCAATTGTCTGGGCTGGGTCAAAGCGACGCTGGGTTTTAACTATTAGTTATATTGATAAAACATGACAGGTATTGGCATTGACAACAACTGAAATCACATTGAAGAAATCGTCTATGTTGTATTGAGCCTGATCGAATTGGGCCATATTTACGGCAGATCCTCGTTTCTATGGGAGAGCCAACAAGCCAAGGGACCAACATGATACACCTCTCGCAGTAATGGCAACACGTAACCTGCAATTCCAAGTCTTGGCTCTACTCAAAACAACTTTCAACTATCTTCGCCATATTATCTCACCTGCAGTCTTTGAAGATAATCTTTCCAAAACCCTATTACTTGTCAAAGGAGGTCATACTGAATTCATTGAGTTTGCAGAATAGATACCCTACAACGAAATAAAGGTGGGCAGGGGTCGGCTGTCCTCACGATCAAGCTTCCGGCTGTTAAAGATTAAGCGCGGCCGCACCAAGACGCTACCCAGAAACGCTTCTCACAGGCGGCCGACCCCTGCCCCGCGACCGTTGAGTGGTAACCCGTCGCAGCATTTGACTCAATTCTAGGAGAGACAAGGCCCAGCAAGGTATTACTTGGTAAGGGGGTGAAATCCTGTACTCTACGCCTTGGAATAACTTGTTTATTTGGAAATTCCCTTGGGGGCCACCTGAGGATCGACGTTCCGTCAATTCCTTCGCCTACGTCGTTGACGACCCATGAGCACAGATTGACTTTGGTCAATGGTCCTGTAGACAAGAGGCATGGACTAACCCCCTTTGAGCTATTTTGCCTGTAATGATGTGCAAGTCGTCCCTGAACCTTGTTTTGTTTTGCCCAGTGCACAGGGCAAGCAGACAAGTCGTAGCGAGGCAGGCCTTCGGCTTGTGTACCCGTCTTGCAGCAACGGGGCAAATTACCCTGCTCTGCCAGAATCCTTCGAGACTCTTGCGCCCTGAGGATGCGGACGATGGATGGATCCATGGCAGCACGTACAAACTTGCACACGCACACACACAACCAACACATGGCATGGCATCTCATGGGCTATCAGAGGCGCGATATGCTCAATGACAATACCACATCCGCTTCGACTGTTGGTGATCTGGCGCTTATCTTTTGGATCACACAATTTCTAATCGCGCCCGTTACCAGTTGAGCGGGTGACACAAGAAGCTTTGTCGATCAACCAACCTCAACCAACCTTCTTCTTTGGAAAACCCCCGCAGAGAGTGGGAGTTGGAGATGGAGATGGAGCTATCTGCGGCGAAATTGTGCCGCTCACTTACACGGACTGACTCCTCCTTCGAAGACATTTCAAATACACTAAAAATCCAACGTATCCACGACGCATGAACAAGCGGTCTGGTTGAATTGTCTGGTAGAAGCCATAGCGCTATTCTAAGCACTTTTCTGGTCTTAAAATCCTCACGATGAAAGGGCTGCGTTGACGTGGAGTGAAGGCTCTCACCATTTGCTCCCAGGGTTCCATCACGGATATAGATGGGAGCTAACTGAGCTTCTCCGTGAAAAGGCCGCAAAAGGAAATCACCGGCTCCGTGTGTGGAGAGTTCCGGCTCCGCGGAATGTGCCATAACTAAGCATTTGGATACTTACCTTACGTATGTACGTAGGTGGTGCCCAGGGCTCGGCAGAGCGGCGTCAACAAGACCTAACATGAAGCCCCTTTTGCTATTACCCGTGCGGGTAGGACTGAATCAAGTGTAGCATTGTCGAGTCCGTCGTCAGAAAATGTCAGAAGACGTCAACAATGCTCAGCGTTGGGTTGCGCCCGTTGGTACTATAGTTGACGGATATCGTTTACCTAGGTACCTTGAATTATGGTTAATCGTTATCCCGAAATGAGCGAT